TTAGATTTGAGTATAGTTCCCATTCAGATACAGGTTGGATCACTGTTGAAATCAGAGGCCAGATATTCCCCGAGAATTGAATGGGGGTGATATTTGAATTTCCAGAGCAAAACTTACTCTTTGAACGGTGGCTAAGATAATGTACTGTATAAATGAGTCATTATAGCTCTAGCTGAGAATCTAAGCTGCAGTCCATGCTCTTACTTGAATAATCAAATTATTTATCCAGAAATTGCTAGGTGCTGGTACGATGCAGGGCATATTGTAGCCTCATGCTTTTTGGCTTGTTGTGAGAATTCCGTGTGGCAGCCTTTAACTTTCTTATTAACTACTTGTCAGTGTGGCATAACTCATGAAATAAGAAGAAATGTGGTTTGGGATTTGATTGTGCCATTGCATTAAGTATTTGAAGGCCCCACTGTGCCTTGTGATCAGTGCCAGACCAAAGAACTTCCAAATTAGATATTGAATAAAGTAATAGAGGGGGTGAAAAAGTGAGGTGAGATGGAGTTTTTTATTTGATATAACAAGCTGTCTATTTTTGTTTGTTTTGGTTATGTTATGGTGATTACTTTTCTGGCATCCATTAGGCAAGAGGTTGAGGTTTCACAATCTGAAGGAATGCATTGTGTCACCTTCAGAGAGGTAACAGACCTGATATGCCATTTGTGCCAATGTTCTTGGCACCTGACATCTGCCTGTTGTGACACAGAGGAAGATGTCTGGCACATTTCAGGGTAGGATGTGTGAAGGAGCTGTCTGGTTAAACATCAGGAATGCTTACAATGTCAAGGAGAGAGGGATGGGAGCAAATAAACCAGAAGACAACCTCAGCAGGTGTGTTTTGAACTGAACTGATGAGGTCCTGGTTCCAGTTTTCAAGACTAGAAAGTTGTGGTAGCCAGGGGACAAGGTGCTGATGGGAGCCTAAAGGCTCCATTCATTGTAGTTAAATGTGAATAGATCTCTGCTTTGCTAATCCTGTAGGCTCCCTGTGTGGAGGAAGATGAGTGACATGAGGCAAGGAGCTCTCATTTTATTAGCTCTTTATGGAGGAAATGGGTGTGTTTTCATCCAAGTGAGATGAAGGTCTGTTCGGAAACTGTTGTGGGGGGAAAGTTTATTAGAAAGTTACACAGTTAGGTATATGAAACAGTGATGAAAATATTGGATTAACACATAATATTCTATGTGAAATTCATGCTCCATTGTGCTTTCAACCCAGCCGGCAGAAGCAAAACCAATTGCTTATTCCCATGTGACTGTGTTGTCTCTAGTGTTCTGTGGCCTTGACTAAAAAGCCTTCCACACAGCAATTGGTTTGTGTCTGAAGCTTTGGGTGTGATAAATGTATTTCATTGAGTTGCCTTGCCAGCAGTGAGATATCTCCTCTGGACTGTACTGCGTTCTTTAGCAGCCTTCCCCTTTCCTCTCCAAACTGATTAGATACTGAAAATGATGGAGAATGCAGTGGTCTGTCAGCACAGCTGCTGAACAGGGCATCTCTGGGTATCTCTACCCTGAAGTCTGCTGTATAGGGTGCATATGTTTGATGTGAAGCAAAAAGTCACATAGGAATGGTGCAAAAGAGTTCTCACCCAGTTTGTTCTTATAACTGGCACCAGATCCCCTTCTCAGATAAAAAAAACACCAACAAACAAACCAGAAAACCCCAAGCCTTGTTTTGTTGGAGCTCCAAGTCTATTTTTTCCTTGGCTTGAATATCCTGAATTTAATTGCTGTGTCAGTCTGTTTGGCTCTCTCAAACTTACAGGACAATGTACTCAGTGATTTAAACTTTGTTTCGTGAACTCATTAAGAGCTATAACTAACATTGCAAAGAGGGGCTCAATCCCCTTTTGCCTAGGTCAGTTTATCATGTGAATTTGTTTATGCACCATTCAAGCCATAAGGTTTTGTAATTTATAACCTATAACTCTTAACTGGTACATCTCCAAGCAAAACCAAAAAAGTAAAACTTAGCAGGGGGTAAGAGACTGCTTATCCCTTCTCCTCTGTCGCAGTACAAGTGTTCCCTTTATCACACCAAGTAGCAGGAAAGCCTCAGCAGTCCAGCTCCTGTTGGATTTACTTCTAAAGTTTTTTGGGTAAGCTGATATTTTTTACCTTCCAGCTTGGAGGTTTGGCCTATACCATTTTTTATAAGTGAGCAGATTCTGGAGAAACTGCAACAGGAAAGATGACAGGAGACAGAGATTTGCCAGAATGGCATAATGCATAGTGCATAATGCTCAGAATGGCTCTTGAGCTCTTTCAGACCACCTACTTGGTGCTCTTGCATTGACTTACTGGCACTGTGCCCAGCATCCATCAGGCCTCACCAGCAGGTTAGCCAAAATCTAAGCAGAAGGTGAGTGAACTGTCACACTGAACACACCGGAAATATTTTAAAAAGTCTTTTTTTTCCTAGCAGTTCAAGGGTACATTCCCAGCTTAGAGGTTTGGATCAAGTTACAAATTGTGGTGGCTTTTAAGTAAATTTTTAATGGTGAAGGGTATGATAAATTATCTAATTGGTTGGACATCCAGACATATTCCAGGAGCAGTCCAATTTATTGCTGGAATATGAGGTTAAATCATTATCAGCTTTGACAACTTCACTGAGATGTAATAAAACATTATCCATCATCCAGAATAGAACACTTGAAATCATTCTATTTAATATATTTTTAATAATAGAAGTGAAAAATAAACAATTTATCTGCAGGGACCTGTTCTTAAACTTGGTGAAAGTGAGGAAACATGGTCTTCATTATCATTTATTCAAGTTATCATTTTGACGCTGTAAGTCAAAATAAAGAACTAGGGTGAATAATTTTTTCTGGAACAGCACTCTTAAATTATTGAACTAAATATGACAGCTACTGTATGCATATTTTTTAAGTATGTGGTGACTTTTCTTAAGACTAGATGATGTGCAACTGTTGTGATTTTCAAAAGAAAACAGAAGCACATGGAAATTTCTCTAGCACTTTTTCTCTGGTAGCCAAATAACACCTGCAGGATCACATTTCCTTAGCCCTTTAACAGTTCTCATTGTACCAGTCTGTGCAGACAAATAAGCAATTGATACTGGGAGTCAATGAATTTCAGCTTCTTTCTGTCAATGTTTAGGGAGTTAATGAAGCCTGGGAGGCTGTCTGAAGCTCAGGTTGGAATGTTACTTCTTGGAATGTTCTGCTTCATTTAAAATATCCCTGCAGCAGGGTGATCCTTTGCTTATTTGAAGATTCAAGGTATCAGAGTGCCCAGATTGGTTCTGGCACAGTCTGAATATGTGAACTGTTCTGTGACCTCCTGTGTCAGAAGTGCTCATCTTTGAAAGGGAACAAATACATCTTCCTTCCTTCAGTGCTGCATATCTCCTACTGCCTGGGTCAGGAGCTCCTGTGTTTTCTTGTAATGTGAGACACAGCAGGCTCTAGATTTCGATGGAAAATTACATATTCTGTAGAAAATAACCTGTATGTAGACAGGCTTCAATATGGTTTGGATGCCTCAGTTCTTGATACCTTTTTACTTTTATTTCTCTTATAAAAAAAAAATTCACTAGTTACAGGTTTAGTAGTATCCAGTAAGATCTTAAACAAATAGTTAGCTGCAATTAAAAAAACTAAAGCTTAGAATGAGAAATTTTGAAATGCCATCATTAACGAAACCCTCAAAGCAAGGGTTTGAGATTATGAATCCTCATCCCTGTATCATCCTAAATTTAGTTATTGTTTGGTGTAGTCCTCTAATTACAGCAGAGTGCAGAAGCTAATTACAAAGCATTTATGCGTGAAGTGAATAAAAAATGCCAACAGAATGATTGTATTTGAACACTGCTTTAAAAGTAAAGAAAAAGAAAGTTGTGACTCATTTGTATTCTTTTTTGGGGGAAGAAATGGCTTTGCCTGAATGTGGTGAAGCTCCCAAAGCATGGATAAAGACTAGGCATAAGGTCATGCCTTAGGAAGAGACTACAGTCAGTGTCCCGAGTCAAGTTCTTTGTGAATCCCGTGGGACAGAAGAAAGAAGCCAATTTTGAATCTGGAATGGAAAACTGAGACTATACTTATTACACCTATATGTCTCTGAATCTTGATCTTTTACTTTGACCTTAACCTGGAACAGTGTTAAGGGAGATTTCATTGGATCAGGTAAAATTGGGTCATTTTGTTCCCACAGTAATTGGAATCAAGGAGCTGGGCCAGTACTGGCTGCAGTACCAAGTACACAACAGACTGCTGCAGGTTTCCTGGTGAATTGTATCTGTCATGGACCAGGGTGTTGGTGCAACCTGGTCAACGATGGATGTAATTCAATCATTGTAAAAGGTGTTTCCTTTACAGTATGTAAACCACTTATTAGAGGATGTACATTGGTAAGCATATTTTCCATGACTGAGAGTGCTTGACTGTCAGAAGACTATAGCTTTGTGAAAAGATCTGTCACTTAGATCTGCTTGGCCTTTTGAGATCTATGTCATATTTCAAATCCTAAGAGTTGGCTTGTGAAAGTGGTTGTTTGCTGTAAGAGTTTGAATGAACCTAATGCTACTATTAAGATGTTTTGTGTGGGTTTCTTTCCACTTCTTGCCTGGTTCTTGGTAATGGAGCTAAATCCTTTGGAATTTTATGAATTTGACTGTCATTCCCCTGTCCCTCCAAAGATCTGGGAATTACAATATATATTCATTGAAGTGCATGGGAAACTGGCTTCACTCAAACTTCATTTTGGTTCAAATTATCCTTTGAATTTCCCTTCATGTGATATTGTGTTGACTGCACATACCTTCACTTGATATTGTGCAGTCAACACGATATCAAATGAAGGGAAATTCAAGTGCAGCAGTTCTAATTCATTGTGCTATCTGTGCATGCACACTATATGCAAAAACATTTCTAGTGTTTGAGGCTGGAATGTGTATTTCTCTTCCCATTTCTAGGAAGTGAATTGCTATTAACCATTTGTTGAGTGTACACTGCCATCTCTTTTTCCTAGGAGCCATCATTTGAGATGCTTCCGTTGTCTGGGAAAACAATAATATTTGATAGCTTTCCTGATCCTTCAGATACCTGGGAAATAATTGAGACTATCGGCAAAGGAACTTATGGAAAAGTTTTCAAGGTGTTAAATAAGAAAAATGGCAGCAAAGCAGCAGTCAAAATTTTGGATCCTGTTCATGTAAGTTACTTAAATTACTTGGTTAATTGTGAGTTTTTTTCTCTTAATCTTTGTAGATAATTTGTATTAGAAGTGACAGTGAAATAAACTATTTCAGCCTGCTATGTATCAGGCTAGCTGTCAATGCATTTTTTCTTAACATAAGTGATCTTGGAAGTGGTTGCTTATGGTAAAAGTCAGAAATGTACCTAAACTTTGTTGCTTTTATTTCGTTACCCCTTCTCTCTTGTTTTCGGAAGCAGAGCTGATTTTTTTCCTTTTCACTATTAGGAGTCCTAGCTTATTCTATTTTTACTCTTGTTACCTTTCCTTTTTTAAAGTTTTTGACATACTGGCCAGTAAGGAAGTTATGTTCTTCTAAGTACTTAAGCTGTACCTTCAAGCATCTGAGTACATGCTTGTAGCTGAGTTACATGCTATGAGTGATACTTCAAAAATAAAATAGCATACTTTATTGTTATTGTTCATTCTGTGTTTTCAGAATGTGCCAAAGCAAGTAGGTCTCACAGAGGAATCCATCTTTTCAAATGGAAAATGCAAAGGGATTAGCTCTACACACAAAGCACCAGGCAACTGGAAGGTGAAATTATGAAGTTGTAGAGCACGGTTTTGTTCTCAATAACTGACATTTGTTGGGTGGCAGATTAATGCTCAAAGAATAAGGAAGAACACTAGTCTGGTTTGTATAGGCACACCCCACTGACTTCAGTGGTGCTGCATGTGGCTTGGGACTTTTCTTGAGACCAAAACATGGGAAAGCGGCTGTTCATATTTTGGAGGCCCTTTTAAGTTCATCTTCTGCACTCCCAGTGTAGGTTTGTGAGGTGTGTGCTTCTGTGGCATGGCCTCTGGGCAGAAATGGGTGAGCATGCCATGCTCTGTGGACCCTACCGGTCTGGAGCTGCACAGCCACATGGGGCTCTTCTACCTCTGCACATCACACAGTGTCAGATTATGATCCCATAGACACAAAAGTCTGTGAAATACATTGGTGAAGACGTAATGTTGTCTGTTATCTATGCTGTGTTTCTTGCTGATCTGCTTTTTATTTCAGCATGCTTTCAAAGCCACAAAAGGGTGTTCATCTCGATTCAATGCCACAACCTCTTCCAAAGTAAACATAACTTGCCAAGTGATAAGCATCTTGATGAGTTCGAATGTATTGAAAACTATTTTTGACTCTATTGCTTTCTGTAAACAAGGTTCTTGTGCTTACATTAAATAGGCATGACTTCCTTGTGATTGGTGTTCATCTAAATGCTTGTTTGGCAGGAAATGCTTTTGCTTTCCTGTGCTTCAGAAGTGTTCAGGAGTGATTCTTAAGTGGCAGCTGGCTATGGCAGGAATTCCTGAAGAAATCAGTGAAACTTTCAATATTCTGTACACTTTGGAGGTTGCAGAAAAAAGATTAAAGGATGATGATAGAAAGAAAAAAGAAACAGTAAAGCTGATGCTAGAGGAAAGAGAAATAGATTAAGTAGGAAAGTAAAGGAGATGGAAGAAATAGGATGGATAAAGATACAATATAAGAAATTGAAGATGGGTAAATGTATAACTGATGAAAACAGGTTCCTTATTTTAATGAAAAAATGGCAGTAGTGCAGTCAACATCAGTTTTCCAAGACTTGACTCTTAACCAAATGTTTTTTATTCTAAGAACACTATTCTTCTTTGCCCTCTTCTATTTACAAGGTGTCTGGAGTAGCTGCTGTACCTCCATGTTACTGCTAAAATGACAATCCTATATTGGAAATAAAGGGAAAGCAATAAATGAGTTCTTTTTATTTAAACTGAAAGTATTAATAATGGCTGCAGAGGGAGCCATTGCAATAAAGGAAAAGATACTTTATGTATTTTCTTCTTCACATTTTACAATTCTTTTTCTTTGGAGATTGTTTCAAAATTGTGCCTCTTGAGAGGTAGATGGGAAACAAAGCAGAAGAAACATGGTTTGGTTTAACTGATGTTTTGAAATTAAACTAGGAACCTACATTATCATGGGTGATATAAGACTGAAATAAGCTTTTAATGTTTAATGCTTTAGTGCACAGACTCTTTTTGCTGGATAACAGCTCAGCTTTTTAAAACTGAAACAAGAAAGCAAAGGTGTTGAAATGAGAATTTATGAAGATGGAACTTAGAAGGCTTAGTCTTGTCCTCAGAATTATAAGTAAATACCATTGTACTTTAGAACACTTAGCCAAATTATCCTATATATAGGATGAAAATTTTCAGTCTACCATTTCTAATACAGTTTTTTTATGAAGGTAAATATGCTAAATTCAACAAAATATTTCAAGTTTTTTCCTTCATATAATACCGAGGAATAATTTTCATTTTGGTAGGCACAGAATGAATATTCTATCATTTAATTTCTCCTTATAATTGTAAAAATCTCATAAAATCTGAGTAACCCTCAGGAGACAGAAACCTCTATGAATTCACAGTAGGACAGTGGGCTAATTCTCTTCCAATTTCCCCAAGGCAGTCAAAACTATTGTATGCTTTGTTTTTAATTTTTGGCTTTTGACTGTATTTTTTTTTCTTTCTTTTGTTTTTGTCAGATGTGTTTTCTGTGTTCATCCCTGCTTCTTTCTTTTTCCATTCACCGCTATCTTCAGTACTTTGGTTCTTTCTTCCTTCCTTGTATTTTTTTTTTCTGTATTCTGTGTTGTGCTAGGGAAAATTACCTTAAAATGAGTTTCTCCTTTTTTAGAAAGAGGAAAATTGCTGCTGTTTTTCAGTTGTTCCAATGACAAGACTTCTAAAATCCTTCCTTTGAGAAGACTTATCCTGGTAATCTTAATATGAAAGTTTAATGGCCTGATTCGTGAAGATACTGGTGACAGAGGAAGTTCTTGGAGAACAGTCAAGCTGGTCTCAAGACAAAAGGCTCCTGTGAGGAACTTGAATAGGACAGTGGAAACCTGTATAAGAAACAAATGAGCAAAGTTCTCTTGGGGCAGGTGTGTTGAAGAGAATGAGAAGGAGCATCATTCATTGGGAATACAGAACATCCCCTTTCTCTGCTGTGGTCACTTCTGTTTGGCTTTGCTGAGGCAGGTTTTTGGCACTGAGTAGAACTTTTCACTAATATGAAATCCATTCATAAAGGAGCCTTCTTCTAGAATGGATTTTTCACTTCTTTTTGTGTAGTTGTAAATAGCAAATGGTATTAAAAAATGTTTTAAGCCTGAAATTATTGTGGTCATCTTTTTTTTTTTTTTTTGAGATCTAAACTATGAGGGGAAAATGGCTGCAGATATTTGCCTTTATCTGTTGTCAAGAGGGATTGAATATTTTGTCAGCATGACTCAAATGCAGTGCAATCATCATCCCTCAATGAGCAATTCCAGTGCACAAGTGGGAAAGGTTTACCTGAGTCATCCAATGCCTGCTAAAGCCTACCAATGCCTATGTCCATTTTTGGCCTGAAGGGATTTGCACAGCTCCCAGTGCATCTGTTGGCAAAACTGGTCCTCATATCTCACCTCCCAAAGGATTTCCCTCGCTAAGAAACCCAAGGTCTGTAATGAAAGTGTGACAAAAAACCATGATTATTATAGTTCAGTAGCAGATCCCAGAAAGATCATGGATGTCACCAGCTTCTGTAGAAAATTAGAAGAATTCCCAGATAATTCTAGAAAGTGGGATGGCAAATGAATGAGATGTGGCTGAAGTCATACTTGTTCATGCACAAAGAGAGAGGTAGTCCCAACTGCACCATTTCTAGCTGGGGTTACCATTGAGACTAAAGCACGTACTTTCACAAGGCGTCTGCATACCTACCTGCTTGTGGATTGCTCTGGCTTTGCCTTGACATTACAGAACAGTTAAGGTTGGAAGGGACCAGTGATGGGGTCATATGATCTAACCTCCCTGCTCAAGCAGGGTCTTGCTAGAGCACATGGCACAGGATTATATCCGGAGAGTTCTTGAATCTCTCCAGAGAGGGACACTCCACAACCTCTCTGGGCAACCTGTTCCAGTGTTCTGTCACTCGTGTAATAAAGAATTTTTTCCTCATATTCAGGTGGAACTTCCTGTGCATCAGTTTCTGCCTGTTGCCTCTCATCCTGTTGTTTGGCACCACTGAGAAGTGCCTAAATCCATTTTCTTGACATCCCCGCTTCAGACACTTGTAGAGATTGTTGAGGTTCCTCTCAGTTTTCTCTTCTCAAGGCTGAGCAGGCTCAGTTCCCTCAGCTTTTCCTTATAAGAGAGATTTCCAATTTCTTCATCCTCTTCATAGCTCTCCTCTGGACTCACTCCATTAGCTCCATGTCTTTCTTGTACTGAGGAGCCCAGAACTGGATGCAGCACTCCTGGTATGGCCTCACCAGGGCTGAGTAGAGGGGCGGGATCACCTCCCTCAACCTGTTGGCAATGCTTTTCTTAATACAGCTGAGTATTCCATCAGCCTTCTTGGACCCCCACTGCTCTCTCATGGACAACTTGTTGTTCTCTAGGACCCTTGCTCTTCCTGAGGGCTACTCTGTCATACCCCACATGTTCATTAGTCAAAATTGATAAAGACAAAATAAAATTTTAAAAAATAACTAAACAGAACCATGCTTTGTTGTTCTATAAATTTGTGTTCTATTTGTTTTTTATTTCTTTCTATCATTTGAAACTACATTTGAATTGACAGAAAATACTTTGTGGTTGGCTATCATTATTTGTTTGTTAACTGCTATGTATTTCTTGTTTGTGACACTAGGATATTGATGAAGAAATTGAAGCTGAGTACAACATTTTGAAAGCTCTCTCTGATCATCCCAATGTAGTCAAATTCTACGGCATGTATTATAAGAAAGATGTGAAAAATGGAGACCAGCTTTGGCTAGTTCTTGAGGTAAATAATATAGAAAAAAAGGAGGTTTATTCCAGTTGGTATTCCATTGTTGAGTATAAACTCAATAAATGAGATTCAAGTCATTTGTGTAATGTTTTTTTTAAGAGTAGTTGCATGCAAAGTGATAAATGCTGCTGTTTAGTCTTTTTACTGTTCTGGTTAAACTGTTCGTTGTTCTTATCTTGATATTACACTGATAGTCCTGTGCCTTCCTAATTAGGATATAAATTCTAATAAACACTTAGGATTTGCTACCTAGTATCTTTCTTTGGTGAAAGGCTTGCCATGGGAATCTTCTTGTAGTAGCATTTCTTTAAATACCACTAACATATGACATAGCAGTTAAAGAATACAGTATGGTGATTTTTTCCAAATGAAATTATAGAAATTATTTAACTGAATTCTTTTTTTTTTCTGTGGGAGGTAAATGTACAAATAGATAAGTAAGCTAATAAAAGCAGCTTCTGCCCAAATGCTGTTGACAGCAGCAGGAGAAGAGTACTTAATTTTCCTCAGATTAAGTTCAGAGAAAAATGTGTTTGTCTTTAGTTTTGAGTAATCTGTGAGCAAAGGTTCTTGATCATTACAGTTTCTATAGATTCACAGCCTGTTCTGTAAAAACTTCCTCTTGCATCCAAAGGAAAATGAAGACTATTTCTGACACCAATAGTGTGCTTTTCCTAGGAATCAAGACTTTTGCTGTCATTTGATCAGAGTTTGATAAGGTTAAGATTGAAGAATTGGTTGTATTTTATGATGTGTCAGCTGAGTAAATACAAATCTCCTACCAAATATCTCAATGATACAATGGTATCAAATTCTAGAAACAAGCTATCAGCAATGCATAAGGTCTAAAAAAATAGATTCCAAATTCTTATGTGTTCCATTGGAAGATGTTTTTAAGAATGGTTTGCATTGCAAAACATAACAATTATTAGGTTAGATTGACATCAAAAGGTATCAGGTCTTTGTGAAGTGAGCATCTTGGAAAAAACGGTGTCCATTGTGTCTGCTGGGCATTGGAAACTCCCGTCTGTGAAACTTCTGACCTGTAAAGGATGGATGCCAAACAACCAGGCTCAAACTGGGAAGAAACAGTCAAGTGTTTATATTTGAACTTTTATATTTCACATGGAATTATGTTCTTTATGTGAAAAACATGAGCCTACATGTGGATTATGTTTTATATTTACTCTTTTTAAGCCAAGCTGTACATGTGCAAGTTTGGACTGTGTAGAACAGTCTTTTCTGTCACTGCACATGTAGATCTGTGAATGCAATGGATTTCAGCTGGTAGGTGTAGATATGCATAAGCAGTAAAAAAAAATTCAGTGTTGACTTTGGTGAAGGTTTCCTATTAATAATAGTGTATGTGAAAGAAAACTGTCATGAAACAGATTTCTCTGTTCAAGTGGCATCTTCTTATCAGCTTGTGTGCAGCTTTACAGTTGCAGTTTGCTTTTCGCAACAGCAATTAAGGTGTCCTGCAGTTTATAAGAATGAGTATCTTTTTGTCATCTTCATTTTCTGTTCTTTGATGGCATATATGAGCAAGACGATTTGGAGAGAAAGTTTCTCAAATCCCCCTAGGAATGGGTTGTGATAGGTGGTAAAACTCAACATTTAGTAATGAATTTAGAATCACCACTGCAGGTTACCAAAAATGTTATTCACTGGAGTGTTTGAATACATATATTTTGATGTTTGGGTTTGGGGTTTTTTTTTTCCTAGAAGAAAAAATATTCAGCTTTTTAAGATGTGTCCCATGCAATGTATTTTTAAGAAAACTACCTATGGGAGTGAAAGTGAAACCAGAAAATATCTGTACAGAATGACAGTACTCTTGACTCTCAGCTCAGAAATGCCTTTCTCTCTGTAGGCTGCACTCAGATAAGCTGAGCATCTGCTCCTCCTTGAATGCTGTTCTAATCACATTTATGATACAGAATGTTGCAGGAAGGAGGATTCCTGCTGAGTGCATTAAGCTTTGCCGTGTGTTTCCAGAGACTCAGGCAGGAGGAACTGTCCTACTGAGTCTGTGCTGGAAAGAAATCTCATACTCGGGATGAATCAGCTTAGCAGTTTGATGTCAGCAGACAGCAGCGTGATGACACAGCTGAGGCAGTGTGCTGTAGCCCATTTCTTTCTGCTCTGGATGTTAATTCAGAAGAGAAAACATCTGAGATAGTTGGAAATCATCTGATGGAAGATGGAGCAGAAAAGTATTGTGTCAGGCCCCTACAGGTGGGCATGTAGGTCTGAGACAGGTGGGGAGAGCACATGGCACAGGCCTTGCCTGGTGCAAAGAACAACCTAGGCAAGAAAGAGTGAAGGCTGAAAGGCCATAGCAAGGTAAGTGGTAGGTATTACACAGCTTTTACTTGCTGCTGTAAACCAGAATCATAATGCAACATATTTCTATAGTTCACTTCCTACAGAGATCAAGTAGAACTTTTAAGAAGCATCTCAGTCCATTTTCAAAAGATGCAAAGCTATGCGTTCCCTATTTGAATTTGGTTGAATTTGAGTCACGTAAGTATGCTAGTGTATTTTATTGTCATCAATATATTTGTATAGGAAAGAGAGGAAGTATGCATAATTTATACAGTAAAAAAAAAAAAAAACGCAAAACTTATTTAATGGGCTAAAGCTTATCTTGGTAGGGGAAAAATTTTGGAAGGAATGAGTTTCCACCCAAAAATACAGTTTCGTAATATCAAAGTGTATTGTGGAAACCTCTCACTTCTGGAGAGGTAGAGGGAATTGCCAAGTGTTACAGAAATATATACCTTTCACTCTGCTGAATGTCAAGAAGACTGACAAAATATTCTTTTTAGGTGTTTTTTTTTTTTTTTTTGAAGGGTGTATATGAACATTTCAAGAACATTTGCTGAGTTAGGCCAATTATTCTTGCAGCTCAACTTTCTGTGTACTGTGGTGGCACTAGAAGATGCTATTTAGGAAGAGTTTGTTATTCAATTTTTGCAGTCCATTTCCCTCATGATTTCCAGCAACCATGATTTCTGTATTACAGACTATTACAGACTACATCCCAGACTATACCATTTAGTATCCATTTATGGACACACTAAACCTTATGCTGATACAGGCATGCTCTATAATCTCCCCTTATGAGCATACAAGTTGAATTTTTGCATCACTCTTATATGCTGATTTCTATTTATATAATATTCCATGTAGTAGAATGTAATGCTTTCAACATGGCAAAAATGTTTCAAAATGTAATTATATTTCAGTGTGAAGAAATTTAGACTCCTGTTCATATGAGATGGGGAAATATGTTACAATTTCCAGTGGATTGCAGGCTCTATTTTCTAGCCAGCTCTGTTGTTGAAAAGTACCTGCAGAGGAGTTGATGAAATTTATACAGGTGCACAGTCCAGACTGAGTGAACCTGATTTATCCTTGTTCTCATGTGGAACCTTGTGTTGATCTAGTGTAATCTTCACCAGAGAAATCATGTGGGAGTGTACAGTAGCTTCGGCTTGGAATCTGCTTCTCTGAAGAGGTGATAATTTGTGGAAATCTGGATTTTTTGCAAAGTGGTATACTTTGAGTTTCATTGTCTAAATGTTTTTTCTTGATGTTAATTGAACCTGCTAACCAGACACTGATAACTCAAAAGTATCAGGGAAATATTGTCATGATGGATTATTGTGATTCAGTTGGCAGCTATGTTTGCTGATTTATAATTTGCCTGAAGTGATTCAGATTTTTTACTTACCTTTGATCATTTAAAGTTAAAATTAAGAGGGAAAAAAGTGAAATGTACAAATGTCTAAATGATCTTTTTAAGTCCTTGGGATGCTTTTATTTGTGATGGGGTTTTTTCAGAATGAAGAAAAAAATCTTAAACCTAGTAAGTAGAAGCTCTCAGGAGTTTGAATTAAACTAGAATACAGAAGACTGGTGCATCAGTTCACCTGCCACTCTTTCTGCAAACATGGACAAAGTGAAAACCCATGGTTAACCAGAGTATGGACATTGTAACCATTGTAAATGTAGCACCATATGGAAAAAAGGAATAAAATGCCAGTATATCAAACTGCCAGCCTGCTATACCAGGGTTATGTTGGTCCATTATTATTAGTTTACTTCCAGTAAAGTGCTTGCAACAGGGTAAGAGCTGAGAGAGAACCAGAAAGCAGACTGTTGCTGTGTTATGGGCACACAGTAGCCCACCAGTGCAGCTCCTGCCCAGTTACCAATCACAAGGGCAGTTGCCTTTGGTGAGGTGTTTAAATGAAATGAGAATGTAACAAGCTGAGATCCCTGAGAGAACTCCTTTCTGGTTTTGTGGAGATCCTTTAGAAGAACTACCATTCTTGAGTTTGCCTAGAGATGGAGAGCCCAGCACAATGTGTAGAGTATCAGTTATTCACTCCTTTCCTGTCAGAAAAGTGACTCTTCATAGCAGAGAGCTTTCTTCAAAGGTTTAAGCCAATAGAAAAAATAGCTTTGGAAATGGAGAACTGAATGGATAACAGAAGTCAGTTGTGATCCCAATCAGCAGTAGGCATTTGTCAGCACTGTTGTACAGGAGAGTTATTAAGGAGGATTTGAAGGAGGATGGTGCTATGGTTTTCTGGTTTACCTGCTCCTTCAAAGCAGAATGGAAAACAGATACACAGTAATGGATACCACTGTGAGCTGACCAAGGATAGAAGTAGATCTCTTTTTCCATAAGATATGGTATTAGCACTTGTGTGGGCTTTGACAGGTAAAGCATCCAGCTCATGTTTGATGTGATTGAGAGAGGGCAGCCAGCATGAGGGTTCAGAGGCATAATGGCATGGTTGGAGATGGCTGGTTAGGGATAAGTACTCATTAAAGCCAAGAGAAGAAGGTGTTGCAAGAACTCCTGCACAAAATTAAGAATGCTGTAAAATACGTGTACACTGCTGCATCTGGCCTGGAGTGAGTCTGCAGTGCTGTTGCACTGTTGTATCTGCTCTTTTGGAGAGAGAAATGTAGCAAAT